TGCGTTGCATGCAATGCGTTGCTACAGTTCTTGCCGCTACTGCCGTTGCTGCCGCTACAGCTGCAGCAGCAGCAGCAGCAGCAGTAGTTGCTGCAGTTGCTGCTGCTGCTGCTGCTGCAGTTGGAGGCTGCTGCCTTTCATCGCTGCAGCAGCTGCTGTTGATGTACGTTGTGTCGGGGGTATGCTGGGTGTACGTATTGCTGCTGCTGCTGCTGTTGCTGCTGCTGCTGCTGTTGCTGCTGCTGCTGCTGCTGCGCAGCAGGTGCTTCCCCCCAACCGCCGCGCAGAGCAGCAGCTGAGTTTGCTGCTCCCTGCTGGGGTCCGTGCCCTGGCAGACGAATACGAGGCGCTGTACGTACACCCCAACATACTGCTGCTGCTGCTGCTGCTGCTGCTGCTGCTGCTGGTGCTTCTCTCCCTGGTGCTGCAGTCTCTCTCTTGCTGCTTGTAGTGCTGCTGTTCTTGTTCCTGCTGCTGCTGCTGCTGCTGCTGCTGCTGCTGCTGCTGTCTCCTGTTTTGCTGCTGCTGCATAAAGGGAAGTTGCCCTCATCAATGCTACGTAGCTTTCTAACATCAGCAGCAGCAGCAGCAGCAGCAGCAGCAGCAGGAACAGCAGGAGCAGCAGCAGTAGGGGCAGTAGAATCATCAGTAGCAGCAGCAACAGCAGCAGCAACAGCAGCAGCAGCAGCAGCAGCAGGATGTGCTGCTGCTGCTTGTACAGGTTTCAATCGATGACAACGCAAGTGAACGCTGAAGCTAACGAACTCCTCTNCTGCTGCTGCTTGTACAGGTTTCAATCGATGACAACGCAAGTGAACGCTGAAGCTAACGAACTCCTCTCTCGCGTTGCTGCATTTCTGCAGCAGCAGCAGCTGCCGAGTGCGCTGCGCAGCAGACTTGCTGCCCAGCAGCAGCAGCAGCAGCAACAGCAGCAGCAGCAGCAGCAGCAGCAGCAGCAAGGCTACGATGCATGGAAAGAGGAACAGGAACAGATACCCCCACCGCTGACCAATGGTCTCGCTGCAGCTGAATTCCGCTTCGAGTTTTCTACTGCATGCAGCCACGAGCTGCTGGTAACTTACTTTGCTGCTGCTGCTGCTGCTGTTGCTGCTGCTGCTGTTGTTGCTGCCGCTGTTGCTGCTGCTGCTGTGAAAACACGCAAGTGCTGTTGGCGCAGTTGCAGTCGTACGAAAGCTACAGCGAAGGGTTTTCTCGTGCATTTGCTGCTGTTGCTGCTACTGCTGCTGTTGCTGCTGCTGCTGCTGTTGCTGCTGCAGTCTGTTCAGTCGCTTGGAGGGGCGCAACGGCTGAGGCAGCAGCAGCAAATGCTGGAGCGTCTGTCTGCGGAAGCAGCAGCACAACTAGCCACAGTGCAGCAGCAGCTTCAGAGCCAGTTGGACCTGCTGCNTGCGGAAGCAGCAGCACAACTAGCCACAGTGCAGCAGCAGCTTCAGAGCCAGTTGGAC